CAATGTTGAAATGTCTCGCGTATGAATATTGCAGGAATTATATAAGAAAGTATTTTGCAACGGTCCATCAACCCCGATATCTTCTCTAGGCGGAGAACGCGCGACGATTTAACCGTCCTGTTCGCGTTCCTCGCGGTCGAGAGAATGTAAATTTCAGGCCGTTCCACTTGCACGTACCCTGCAAGAATCTCGGGCGTTTAATTAAGCGAGAAAAAGTCGCGTATATATACGTCTCAGCGCGACATTACGTCGGGACACGTCGTCCATGCATTTTCTCGACGAATGTTTAAAAAATTCCGAGCCTCCCTCGTGCACGATTAAAAATTATTGTATTTAATATTTCAGTCTGGTTTACATTTTTGACGATTTTCAAAGGAAAAAAAAAAAAAAAGAAAGAAAAAAGAATCGGCAAGCATAAATTAAAAATTTGTCACTTTATACTTCGAGGCAATTTCATAATTTGCCACTTAAAAGTCCCCCTCCCCCCCTCCAGTATTACCGGCTAAATTTTGTATTATCCAATTATGTCCTAATTTAGAAAGTGTAGAAATTTCACAAGTTTCTTCCTGAACTTTATATTTATGCAACTCTTTTCATAAGAAAGTTCTTTTATTTAAGAAGTTTAAAAGCTAAGTCAAATTGACTAACTTCAGATTCTTTGTCTTTGCAATTATGAAAAATGTGCAAGCAAGTTTTTTTCACGAAGTTTAATATTCATTTTCATTCAAATAGAAGGATAATCGTGCACATTGAATTATTTTCATAATAATAACTTTAACTTTGGTATAATATATTTATAGACACAGTATTATAACTTTTATCTTTTATAAATCGTGATATTAATTAATTAGAAGAAAAATTTATAAATTTGATAAATTTGCACTTTTGAGAAATAATTATCGGAAGCAAAAGTCCACGCAGTGATATACAGCTTTTTTTTATTCGTTTTTATTCGTCGATTTATTAATATTTATTAATCGTGGAGTCATTCCATTTTTTTTTTTTTTTTTTTTTTTTTAACTTTCCCCCTGATGGTTGGCTGAAATTTTTATCCGTCGCTTTGAACTCGTTTCAAGATACGTGCATCGTATTAATTTCTCCGTTGGAAAAAACGATGGGAACCGATGGAAGAAACGTGTCGCGTGAAAATTTTATACGAAAACTCCCGGAAATCTTCCATTCACGTATCTCTCTCGCGTCTCTGTCACGTAAAATAATATTATAGATGATAAAAAAAACGCTGATCCTTTTGGCTGAAATAACATACGATGAAAATATATTCAGGAGGAAAGGATCGTTCAAAAAAAAAGTAAAAAAAAAAAAAAAATACAGTAATATTTTCTGATGATCTTTAACGACTGAATTATTAAAATTATTAAAATTAAGGTTAATTTTTCTCGTTAATTTTTTTTCGTGTATTAAAATATACCAAGAAGTATTTCATTTATGCATGCCATAGATTTGAATTTTGTGCCTCGTTAAACTCTATTTAACCGCGTCGTTTTATCATTTTTCTTATCTCTCACTGATTCCTCTCCCCATAATATTATGCATACAATTTGTGTTAATTTCTATAAAGTTGATACACCCTTACATACAAAACTTGTGGAGCAATGACATTAATTTCGTTACATTTAACTCGATGTTTCTTTATATATTTTACCGAAAAAAGGAGACAAAAATTAAATTAAAGATCGTACGCTTATTCGTGTCGTTAGAAGAAAATTAAAAGTAATGCAGAACTTTTTTTTTTTTTTACACTTCTACTTCCACACACCGTGTACCCAATCTCTGTTTTGCCCTATTCTAATCCTTCTTTGATGAAAATCCTCCCGATACAAGTTTTGAGGTAAGAGAGATGCACAAAAATGGCGAACCGACATAAATCTCGAGAAGGTTGAGAGACAATTTAACTGTGCACTCGGTGAAGTGGCAAGAACTCATATCCTGCGTTGCTCACCCATAAGAACGGTGAATGTCCACGTACCACTCGTAAGAACAAGTGAGCCGATGTTGCATTTTCTGGCGTGTCGTTAACTCTATTGCCTCTTACCGTGTGGCAACTGCAATTCACGTTTATTACATATAAATTCCATAACGGAGGATTCGCGGTTAGAAAGAAATCCAGAACAATTCCGGAAATTATTTCCATCCTTCCGCCATAGTTCCCCCAACAATTCGATCTTTCCCCCGTTAATTGTGTCGTTAAGTCAGCAACACCGAATTGCTGTGCCAGCAATAATTCACTCATAAGTGTTAGAAACCATTCTCGTCTCGTGCAAAGTCATAGTTAACCTAAATTATTGGAGGAACGATTAATTCGTCTGTGCGAGATAACAATACAGAAACAATAGGAGTGAACGCGTTTATTAAGAGGAGCTAGATATTGGAAAATTTTAAATGTACGATATAATGCAAGATGATATTATCAATGGTAATAATAATAGGAATATAGAGATACATTTATTATAAAAGAAATATAATTTAATTTTTGTCAAAACGATATTAATTAAAATTTAAGAAACCCTCCAACAAATTTTTCTTCGAAATTTTTCCCTATCACGAGATATAATAATCAAAAAAAGTGGTTAAATACGTGGATTTAGCCACGTAATTCCGTTGTATCTTCCTCATTCCTCGCTTATAAAACCCACACCGTTCCGAATTACCCTCGATAATACTACCCGGCGAAATCTCGTTTCCTACGCTAATTTCACGTGATTTCCCCGCAGGCGGCGCAGATCCCGAAAGAATGGCGCCACCAAGGGTCGAGGAGTATCTGGCGGAGCTGTTCTGCGGCTCGAACGTGACTATGCAAGTGGTGTCCGACCAGGAGACACTCCTCCAGGAGTACCCGTTGTTCGCTTGCGTGAACCGTGCCGCCTCTATGATCCCGCGGCACGCTGGCAGGATTATTTTCCTCACCTACGAGCCACCCAATCCCGCCTGCATACTTGAAACGGTGATGTTCGTGGGCAAGGGCGTTACCTACGACACGGGAGGTGCCGATATCAAGAGTAAGGGCAACATGTTCGGGATGTCGAGGGATAAATGCGGGGCGGCGGCCTGCGCTGGATTCATGCAGGTCCCTTTTCTAATTGTTGTTTAATAATTAATAACGTTGGAGAGAGAAATGATAATGTTGAGAGAAGAAATGATCGTATTGAACTTTCTATTTAATCGTTTCACTTGCAGCAACTTGATTAATATTGAATATAAAATATCGCTTTGCAAATTTGAGATTAATATATTTTTTTCTCTAGTTAGTAGTTGGATCAGAAGACAGATGTACTTCTGTCTCCATTCTTTTCTTTTGGAATCTGGAACAACCAAATGATATTTTTGTTGAAAAATAATAGAAAAATTATAGATGCTGATAATGTATATTATATATTCTTCATTGTGAATTTTGTGAATTTTTTGTTCTCTCCCACAGGTGGTGAATTTGCTGCAACCACCGACTGTGAAGGCGGTGGCGGCTCTCTGCATGGTGAGGAATAGTGTCGGTGAAAATTCGTACGTCGCGGATGAAGTGATCACCGCAAAATCCGGCACGAGGGTACGTATTGGGAATACGGATGCGGAGGGCCGTTTGGTCATGGCCGATGCCCTTTGCCATATCAAAGAAATGGCACTGTGCTCGGTCAATCCGCACATTTTCACGGTCGCAACGTTGACGTACCATGCGATACTCACCGCTGGTCGAGGATACTCGGTAAGTACTCCTTTCTTTTGTCATTCAATCAAATCTTTTGCTCCCAGAGAACGTTTCCCTCCGTAAAATTTGTATATTTATTTTTATATCCAAAGTGTTTTTGTTCTCTAGTTAGCTTTAGTCGAGCTTTTTTTTTCTATTTTATCTAGCTCGCGTTTAAACGAATAATTGTATACAAATAATTTTCTAATTCGCTAATAAATCGAAGTTTCAGAGTTTCGTTTGTCGAATGAAATTTTAGTTAGAATCCGATTAAATCTACTTATCCGAACTTCTATTATTCGAGCGAGGAGTCATAGCCTGGACGAGGGGAATTAGCGGAATCCTATTACACGAGTTCTAGTTATATTGTTTATTCTCCAATCGGATCGGATTCGATTCGACCCCCGCGATAAATATTTCTAATCGCGATAATATTATCAATTTATCAACCCCGTGTGTGTCGTTTGACAATTATTCGTTTCGTTTATTAAACGAAATAATCGAATTACTCAAGATCGCCATGGACAACGCCGTGGCGCGTTTGGTGAGCAACGCGGAAAAGCTTCAAGCTTCGGGCGAGACAATGGGCGACCCGTTCGAGATATCGAGGATACGAAGGGAGGATTTCAGTTTCCACGAGGGTCGAACGGAAGGGGACGATATTCTGAATTCGGCTAAGGAGAGTTCCGGTGTGACGAACAGGGGCCATCAAGGACCGTCCGCCTTCCTGATCATGGCCTCCGGCCTGGACAAGGTACAGTGACAGAAGTTTTCAAAATGTGTTAAGTAGACGATTTGTCCCGTTTCTTCAGTACGAAGGAGCTGGTGGTAAATTTTAGCACGGCACTCGATCGGGGACACCTCTAAAATATTCTCACTTGGATATCGCCCCGAGCGCTGGCGATATTCCCGATCCTCCAACAGGTGCTCCAATTCTGGCATTGGCCAAACAGTTTCTCTTTCGCGACTGCGAGGAGGCCAGCTTGTCGAAATTTTATTACTTGAAATTACGTTTTCAGCTCTCCTGAGTCAGGATCCAGTTAATCATGTTTTTTTTTAATTTTGTATTTCGTATATACGTATATAGATATATAACAGAGAAGCAGATCTTCGATGATCAATCAAGAGTTTTCAACGTCAGAATAAACGAAAGAAGAAATATATCTAATCAATCGTTCTTCTTCCCCAGATCACCGATTTTATCCCGATCCCATGCAATGGACAATGGATCAAACTTAACCTCCCCAAAATTAATTTCGTTTGTTTCGTAGCCGATACTGTACGTTTGACTATAGTTAAGACTATGTCGCAATCGTTTTTAAACCCCGACATCCGTCAGCGAATCAGTTTTATACGCAGAGTGCGGAGCACTCTTCTCCTTTTACTGGAGACGGCAAGATGAATTTTTTATGGGCATCAGTATATATCAGTTTAGCATAAGTATCGCGAGAAGGCATTAATGGGAGATTAAAAAGCTTTTCCATTACAATAACGTTTAAAAACTCATTTAGCCCCGGCCTATACTCCCCTCCGCTCGCCCTCGGTTCGACCATCCTTCCTCATCCCCTTCGTATCGATTGCAGCACGGTGCCTGTAGCTGCTCTCCTTTAAAATACACGAACATCGACATGGCCCCACATCTGAGCCTACCCCACGAGCTACCCTACAGCGGTAATCCGGTTCTTGCATTGGCCTATTGCTACCTAATCCAAGGCAAATGTCTCACTGTTCGAAACGATCTGCCGTTCGAGATGCAGTACGTTTGCGAAGTGGACTGCAAGCCTGTATGCCTTCAACCGTGCCAACCCTGTCCACCTTGTACTCCGTGCGATGTGAAGATATGCGCACCTCCTAATTGTTCCTGTTGTCCTCCGTGTACTCAACCTTGTGACCCGTGTTGCCCTCCGGTTTGCCCGCCTGCCTCCTGTGCCCCTTGCCCTCCGTGTGGGGGAGAAACCGTAACCCTTGTTCAACCAGTGTGCAGACCGAACGTACCGAAAGGGGTGTGTTAAAAATGATATTTCGTTCGTAGGAATGTTTTGTAATAAAGTTTTCAAAATTTATATATGGGGTTTTCTTTTATTCTTGGTTTAATTGTTCTTTTATTGATGTTTTTATAATGTTTCGTATTTGAAAGAAAAGTGTGACGCGTTTTATTGGCGGTTGGTATGGAAGAGATCCGAAAATATTTATTGATTGTTGGTAACTTTTTCTATCAGTCGTGTTTTCCTTTTGAATCGATAATATCCATATTCTAAGTTACCAACGGTATAAGTACAGATTCATAGATAAATGTGTCATTTTCTGAAATATCCTCGAAAAAAAGTAGTCTCTGAAATTTATATATCGTTATACATCGTATACATTTTTTTAAAAATTTAGCTTAAAAGAGAATATTGTAGTATTGATTCTTATTTTTTTTTTCTTTTTACTTTTAAATAGATCTCTAGTTCTCAAGAGATGGCACTGTTGACTAATTCTTATTTTATCTCCTTATATTTGTTCTTTTATTATTTAATTTCTTTATTCATAATTGTTGTAATTCAATTCTTGAAAATTCTTCAAAATCAATATACTTTTTTAACAAGTTTTTCTTATTTGTCATATATGATAAATATAAATGATTTATATAAAAAAATAAAATAAAATGTACCTTCTGTCGAAGATGTAGGTCATATACTGATCGACAGGGATCTTGTAGAAATCTTCAATACCTACATAGATAATGCATCGAACCTAGCGATGCATTCACAATAACATAGCTCTCTTCTTAATAAATTATCTACTTCTTTATTTACACACAACAACAACAAAAATAGAGAAAACTTTAGTCGCGTTCTTCTTAGTCACGATTTTCTCAAAAATAACCAATTCTCTCGCGGTTTCAATCGTAGAAATTGAAAATTACGCGCATTCTACACAATTCCAGAGAAAAATCGTGACATATACCGATAATCTTTCTTGTCGGTCGTTGCGAATCCTATCCGTGGAATGCAATCTAGGCGGGCGCGACAGTGGACAAGAATCGTCGAACTTTCCAGACTGTCGATTACCGGCTCGTGACAGAGCGAGTTACGCTAGCACGTCGAAGCGCGGGGTGGCGATAACACGCGCCGGTATTGTTGAACCTTTCCTATCGGGAAGTTTATCGGCCGGCTCTGATAAAATGGACAAGGACTACATGCCTCGCGTCGACAAACGGAATCGCGATATTGTTCGTCTTGATTACTAAATTGAGCGTTATCGGATAGGAAGTTTGAAAATACGATGCCAATCTTGAAGATTTCTTGGAATAATATCAAGGTTGATTAAAGCAAATGATATATTGAATTTTTTTTTTAAATGTGAATCACACTTTGATTAATATCATTTTCAACAAAATAATCGAACTTCCACGAAATGAGACAACTCTATTTCCGTCATATTAATACGTGGAGTATAGCGATATAAGTAGTTAATAGTCACGTGACGCTAGCGTCGCGTCACTTATTACAGTATTAACATAAATAACTATAATTTTATGCAAATTGTGAATTAAAAAAAAAGAATCGATCAAAGCATATTTATAAAGTTATATAAACTATAAGCTATAATTGAAGTTTAGATAAATTAGACAAAGTGAGATTCAAATAGAGTGAGAAAGCTCTATCTTCGTTGTACGGCCATTTTGCTTTCTCTATTACGCTTTATCCAGCGCAAACTTACATTGTGCATAAATAAAGCTCGAGCTGACATTTTTGCACACAAACTTTTGTGTTCGTTTTTTGGCTTCTTCGAATCGATCTTCGAACGATAGAAAACGAGAAAAATACGAGCATGTAATAACTGTATAAGAGAATTACTGCAGTTTTGACGAATTAGAGTGGTTAATGGAAGGCAGAAGTCATCGTTCGAAGCCACTGAACACTGTTTTGACGGCGTAACGCGCGGCACGGCTTGAAACGAGCAGGAGAATAACGTGGAAGGGAAACTTAATTACGGCCACGTCCTTTCTTAATTAAGAGAAAATGTTTGGCGTATCTCGGCGAGATTACCGTGTACGAGTACTAAGCTTCCGTTTGCGCTACCTGCTCGCCTGCTCTCTCACGATCGAAAGCCCGATCCAAAACTAATTCCTCCATTCTTCCACGCGAACGACCGTGCCCGTGTCTCCGTTCCTTTTCACCGCTTCGATATATCGGCCGTGTTTGCACACACGCGCGCCCATCGACGCCTCTTTCGCCTCTTCGCCCGAATCAACGGATATTATCCTTATCAATTCGAATCGTGTAGATAATAAAAAAACGATTCAAAGATTATGGAGATTCGCTAAAGTTCGATCGAGCAACTTTCAAGCAATTTTACAATTCTTCGAAAACGTTTCAAATCCAATCAAGAATTCGAAAGGAAAATTATTCCCAATAAAAATTACCGTTTTAAATTTACCATTATATCACCAATAATCTTCGAATCTATCATCGTACCGAGCTCCCGCGTTCCACTCTTCGCCTATTTAAACGGCAAGTTCATCCGGGACAGGATCGAGCAGGCATCGTCCATCCGATCCGTGTTCATTCTCACCGTTAAAAGCGTGCGATCTTCGGAGGGAACGAGGAGACACGCGAAAACGTCGGTCACGGCGGGAACACGTCTCCTCTAGCATATAGCCTCGGGCCGGTAAACATGGTGGCCACCGGTGGCATTATCGGCGCATACAATGCCGCACACGCCGGTTGACATTGTTTGAAGAAGTCGAAGGAGAAGAAGAAGAAGAAGAAAAAGAAGAAGAAGAAGAAGAAGAAGAAGAGGAAAAAGAGGAGGAGGAGGAGGAGGAAGGTATCTAAGAGTAATCATCTTCTTCGTCGTACCATCTTTCATCTTTGTTTTCCTCTTTGTCTTCGTTCCTTCATTTTCATCCTCGTGGTCAATTTTGTGCTTCGTCATTTTCGTCGCGTTCGTCGACGAATTGAGAAAGGTTTCGCGATGGAGGCACGCTTTCCTAAGGGAGCGGAGGAGGAGGAGGAGGAGGAGGAGGAGGAGGAGGAGGAGTGGGAGGAGGAGGCGGCAGAGGGATTTGTGCGCAGAGGGAGACCGAAGGAAGCGAGACAGAGACAGGCCGCGAGCGAGACGGGAGGAAGAGCGAGGGACAGAAAGATGGCGAGGAAAAGGTGGGGTAGGGGGTGGTAGGGGGCAGTGTGGCGGGTTCGACGGCCGGCTGGTGGCCCAGTGACCGGGACCGGTTCCCTCCGCGGTTCCTCCTTCCGCCTTCCTTGCAAACGCACAACTGCATCATCTCGACTCACCTCCTCTGCCCCTCTCCGCCCCACCGGCCCGCTCCACTACTCGCCAACCCGCCTTCTGCAGCCTTCCTTCGCAGTCTCTTCCTCTGCATGCTCCTTCGCGCTCGTTCCACCGCGGTGGAGAGTTGTCTCTATCATCGGGACCCTCCTCGCTTTCTTGTTTCCACGTTTCTTCTTGTCTCCTTTTCTTCGACACGTCCACCACCTTCTTTTTCATCTCCTATTCTCTTTCTCTTCTCCTTCTTCTTCTTCTTCCTCTTCTTTTTCCTTTTCGTCTTACGCTTATTAATCGATGGTCGTCGTTATCGATCGTTGTTGCTGACATCAACGTTTCTTTTTCTTTTTTTTTTTTCAGCATCCTTTCCCAGATACTCCTTTGCTACTTTGTGTCTTTTCATTTATCTTGAATTTATTTATCGATGATTTTTATCCTTTTCTTCGTCGATCGCATATTAAATATCCTGGCCCATGTTCTTTCTTTTTCTTTTTCTTTCACTCTGCTGTGTATTAATTGTGTCGTCTCTTCCCACCCCTTAGTCCTTTTATTCTCAATTCTTCCATTCCCTTATTCTTCCTTCTCGCCTTATGTACCTGTCCAATTGAAGCGAAAATTGTCAAGTCAATGGTTTATTATTGTAGTTGTTATTACGGGTCTAACGTCAACGTCCTCTCCTTCGTCTCCGCGTATATCACGCGAAAGCGACACGCGCGAAACATCCTGGTCCGCCTCCTCTCTTCGGCATTCTCCTTGTTCCCTGCACACGAACAACTCCGCCGCTACCTCGTGCCTCTTCTTTCATTCCCTTCTCTGCCACCACCACCCCCCTGCTACCTACCACCATCGAGAGAAAACATCGAGAGAAAACCCCCCTCGCCCCTCCGCCTCTAATATTTTCCACAGCCTTCCCATTCTCACCCTTGCTCCCTCGCCCGGCCACCATGCTCCACGCAGACTGCGCCTCCTCCTCCTCCTCCTCCTCCTCCTCCCGTGGAAAGGTCACGTTTCCCTCTTTCATTCTTCCTCCACCTTCCTCGTCCTTCTCCCTCCCCCTCTAGTCCTCCTCTGTCAGTGATCGAGCGGCAACAGCCACGGATGGACGCGACACCTATTTATCCCACGCCCGATTCGCCAACCGAGATGCGCCGCGTGGAATGACAGGGGAGGGGGGGGGGG